GGGGAAAATCGGCTCCCATAATTCAGTTACCTCCCACTGAGCCCCTCCCCTTACACGTGGGGATTACTATTCAAGATGAGATTTGGGTGGGGACACAGAGCCAAACCATATCGCTGAGTCAGCAGCTGTGGCAACACGGATAATGGCTCAGTCCAGAAAACTTTTTTCCATGTTTCTTCTGACATCAGCAATTAATATTAGTACATAATTTCCAAAATATCTCCATTTATCAAAAAATGCATTGATTTAAGAAAATTATAGAATAGTACAAACCATACCATTATACTGCAAAAGAATGATACTGTACATATTATTTTGTAACTTGTTTTATTCACTTAATGGCATATGGGGTGCATCTTAGACACATTTTTATTAAGATACATGTAGGCCTTCTTCATTCCTTGTCACAGATGTATAGCATTCCATTAGATGATATCAAATTCATCAACCTCTTCCAGACCGATGGCACTTAAGTTGCTTTAGTGCTAATTGGTTGGTTGGTTTTATTTTGTTTTACTTGCAGTATAATTTAGTGGATTCCTTATCATTTTGATATTCCCTTAAAAAAAAACTTTTTTGAGATGGAGACTCACTCTGTCGCCCAGGCTGGAGTAAGTAGAACGGCATGATCTCGGCACACTGCAAGCTCCGCCTCCTGGATTCAAGCAATTCTCATGCCTCAGCCTCTCAAGTAGCTGAGATTACAGACACGTGCCACCATGCCCAAGTAATTTTTGTATTTTTAGTAGAGACAGGATTTCACTATGTTGACCAGACTGTCTCAAACTCCTGACCTCTGCCCACCTTGGCCTCCCAAAGTGCTGGGATTACAGACATGAGTCACTGAAGCCAGCCTCCCTTAAATATTTTTGAATCACAAATTAAGTGTTTTACATAAATGTCTCCAATATATTCATTTATATAAGAATTTTGTTTAATAATACTGTTAACAGTGGTTGCCTCTGGGACATGAGGCCATGGAGCAGTCATGTGGAAGCCATGAGCTAATATATTTCACTTTCCATCCTTTGCTACTATCAGTTTTTACACCTAAGAGTAGTGCTTTTCTAATTTTAATCAAAATATATAAATAGATAATGCTATAATAACATTTCCACAAAGACAGTCTTCTTCTTTCTTAGGGCTATGTCTCAGGAGATGTTTCTAAAAGTTAGCTTACTGGGTTAAAGGGCACAGTCTTGAAAGTCTTGAAAGTGTTATACCCACTCTCGTGGTCTGGAGAGATCACAAAGGTTTAATGATCTGCCTGTGGTTCATGCCATCAGGTAAAAATAGATATAAACATTGTACTACTCTGTTCTCACACTGCTATAAAGAACTGCCAAGACTGGGTAATTTATAAAGAAAAGAGGTTTAGTTGCCTTGACCTCTTCAGTCAGTTCTGCTGAAGAGGCCTTAGGAAACTTAGAATGATGGTAGAAGGGGAAACAGGTACATCTTACATGGCAGCAGGTGAGAGAGAGAGAGAGAGGAGACAGAAAAAGCGTGAAGAGGGAGAGAGAGTGGGAAAAACTACCATTTATAAAACCATCAGATCTCATGAGAATTCCTTCACTATCAGGAGAACAGCTTGGGGGAAACCACCCCTATAATCCAATCACTTCCCTCTCTCCACTCGTGGAGATTACAGGTCCCTCCTTCAATACGCGGGGGTTACAATTCGAGATGAGATTTGGGTGAGGACACAGAGCTAACCCATATCAGCCACGTTCCATTACATTGTGTCTAACAGTAAAAGCTCTGCTCACACAGCTAGTGTAAAGGATGTGGTCTTAAAATCCATTCAAAAAGACTCAACTGGTGGAAGTGCCAGAATGGGTCCTATGTGATTCAGCTCCATTCTTGCCTACTTGCTGCTCTGGATCAAAAACCCAGAGACGAGGGACATTCTGTTCTTATGGGTGCCCAGAACAGAAGTGTTGTATTTGAGGATGGCAGATCGTCCTATAAAAGGAGTCCTGTTGAGACTTTGCTCAGAGTTCCTGCCTGTCTGTTGGAATTTTCTTTGTTCCACCCTTTTCTGTCCCTGATTTTGTGCTCCAGCGGGCCTTCACAGTAACCAGAGCCACAGCTTCTTTGCTCAGGCCCAAATGGGGAAAAATAAATGGTTGAGCTTTGTACTGCCTGGGTCACCCCTAACTCAATCCCTGCAGCCAGGCTGCGCTTTGGCAGTTTGTTGATAACTGCTAACACAGGATAACTGTGATTGGTTGACGTCAATCAAGACACGCCCCTAAAGACCCAGAAGAGCCAATCCCAATCAAGCCTCAGCTGTGTCACAGTGAGAGGTCAACTGGCATGGCCAGGAGACACCTGCTTTGCCCAACACATCGATATTTTCTATGGTTGGAAAGGGAAAAAAAACCAATATGTACTCCACTAATATTGAGTACTAACTTAGGAGCTTTTATTATTTAATTTAATCCCAACAGTCCTTAGGGACAGGTCTTGCTATCCCTATTTCACAGATAAAACTTCAGCTCAGAGAGTATGAGTCATTTGTTTAAGGTCCCACAGCTAATATGCATCAAAACTTATCTCACCGATTTCATATGCTGCTTGGCATAGCTTGTTAATGACCCTGAAGTCCATCCAAGCTAGGTCTGGAAAATACATTTTAGATCCTATTCTCCCGAGTTTTGTTGTTTAAAAGTAGAGTATTTGGAATACATATATGTGTGTCTGTGTGTGTCTGTGTGTGTCTGTGTGTGTGTGTGTGTGGTTTAGACTAGGATTGGAAGGAAAAATAAAGATTTGGTTTTGCCAGTTAAGCATCTTCTAACAGTTTAAATAATTGGTCTTGGTCTGTGTTATCAGATTGTGGCCTAAACTAGATCACAGGAATGAATCATAGCTGATGTAATGCACACATGTCTTAGTGGAGCTATTATGTGATATCCAGGTGCAATGAATTTTACAATATGAAATAGAGCTCTACACTTGTCCCCGGTGAGCAATTACGGCATCATGAACTAGGCACTTGGATGCAGTTCAAAGAGCTGAGAACAAGTCATGAAAACGCAGGGAAAGTAAACTTTGGAGTTCCAGAGAGGTCACCCATCTCCTCCCGGCCTTGCAGAGATGGGAAAACTGGTGGAGAAAACCTACAAGTCCAGGCTTTCACTTTTCCCTTAAAAGAATAGGGGTTGTCTAGAGCTGTGTAACTTCTGAGATGGTGAGTCTTCCAGAAAATTTGCTCCCAGGGGACTTCATGGAAGGAGACATTGCCTTCAAACTTTGGCTTTTCAGTTCTGCTACTAGCATTTGGGATTGGACCAATGGCCCCTGATGGCAATTCTGGTTGGGCAGGGGAAGTGTGAGGGTGTGGTGGGCAGGTGGGTGGAGTTAGGAACCGGGGCAAAGGGACATAGACATGCAAGCTAATGTGGTTGGTGGAGACCTTCCAGCAAGGGCGGCATTGCCTGCAGCGATATCAGAAAGCCAGGAAGAGAAGCTTTCTGCAAGCTTAATTCTTTTTGCTCAGGAAGTACTAAAGTTAGAACCTGTTGTCTTTGAAAAAAAAAAAAAAAGATGTTATTTCACAGATCTGTACATGTAAACAACAAATAAGCAAAGACAAAACAAAACAAAAAAGATTTGAAGTCCTAAAACTTTGCTAAGATATGTTTTTCTTCCAAGAGACTACATGGAAATTTTGTTGTCGAAATAAAGCATTGTGCTGAGCTTCACTTGAAATGCTTAAATCCTTTCAAACCATTTCCATTTTTGCCTTTACTCAAACTAAGTGGTTACTTTCTAATGAGTGCTAAGCCCAGTATGTGTAAAGTGTGGTTTTGGCCAATAAAAGGGAAGGTAACACCATTTTAATAGTTTCTCAGAAGCAGTTAAAAAATGACACAATGAAGTTTAATAGGCTGAGGAAACATCACACCCCATCATTTAAAACTCAGCAATGCAAAAAATACCCAGGGGTGAAGAGAGGTGAGGGAGACTGCCAAAAGATTATTGCTTGAAGAATTGCCTTCCCTTGTACCGGCACCCACCCAGGGCAGTTGCCCAGGTTCAGGCAGGGATGACCACATTTTATATCACGTGATCCTCAGCCCACAAGCTGATTGGATCAGAGGAGGCCACGCCCCCAGAGGTGCATCCGAACGCTGATACAGCTGGCTGCAGGAGGCTCTGCCCAGTTTTTGCAGCCACGTGCAAAATGAGACTGTAAGTGCTCTCATTCAAAAAGCAGGCGAGGGCCTGGCCCAGCACATTGGGAGGCCGAGGCGGGCAGATCACAGGTCAGCAAATCGAGACCATCCTGGCTAACACAGTGAAAACCCCCTCTACTAAAAATACAAAAAATTAACCTGACGTGGTGGCACGCTCCTGTAGTCCCAGCTACTGGGGAGGCTGAGGCCGGAGAATCGCTTGAATCCAGGAGGTGGAGGTTGCAGTGAGCCAAGATCGTGCCACTGCACTCCAGCCTGAGCAACACAGTGTGACTGAGTCTCAAAAAAAAAAAAAAAAAAAGAAAAAGAAAAAGGGAAAAGGCACGTTTGGTTCTCTTCTTGCCCTTTCCTTCTAAGTTCTCATTTTCAGCATAAGGAGTTAGCTGACATAGCTGTGAACCCCGAATATCTGAGACAGATCTCAGTCAATTTAGGAAGTTTATTTTGCCGAAGTTACGGAGTGTACCTGTGACACAACCTCAGGAGGTCCTCATGACATGTGCCCAAGGTGGTCGGAGCATAGCTTCTGAGAAACTATTAAAATGTTATCACCGGTCAGGTGCAGTGGCTCACGCCTGTAATCCCAGCACTTTGGGAGGCTAAGGCGGGCAGATCACAAGGTCAGGAGATTGAGACCATCCTGGCTAACACAGTGAAACCCTATCTCTACTAAAAATACCAAAAAATTAAAAAATTAGCCAGGCATGGTGGTACTTGCCTGAAATCCCAGCTACTTGCAAGGCTGAGGCAGAAGAATAGCTTAAACCCAGGAGGCAAAGGTTGCAGTGAGCAGAGACTGTGTCATTGTACTCAATCCTGGTGACTGAGTGAGACTCCATCTCAAAAAAAAAAAAAAAAAATGTTGTCACCTCCTCGTTTACCATCCTAACCCATACTTTTCACAAACTGGCCTTTGCCTTCATGAATTCATTAGAAATTCATCATTCACCACTTACTTTGAGTAAAGGCAAAAATGGAAATGGTTTCAAGGTATTTAAGCATCTCAAGTGAAGCTCAGCACAACAAATTATTTTAACAACAAAATGTTAACGTAATCTCTGCAGAGACATGAGGCATTAATCAACAGATGCAAGAAGAACATTGGTTTGGTACTGAAATCCCAGGACATAGGTAGATAAGAGACAAATAGTTGCATTCTTCTGAGTTTCTGGTTAGCCTTTTCAAAGGAGGCAATCAGATACGAATTTATCTCAGTGAAGAGCAGGACGACTTTGAATAGACTGGAAGGCAGGTTTGCCCTAAGGTGTTCCCAGCTTGACTTTTTTACCTTTCGCTTAGTGATTTTGGGTCTCCAAGAGTTATTTTCCTTTCACATAAGGAAGTCACCGGGCACAGTTGTGCGTTCCTGTAGTCCCAGCTACTCGGAAGGCTGAGGTGGGAGGATCTCTTGAGCCCAGGAGTTCTGGACTGCAGTGAGCTATGCCAATCGGGTGTCTGCACTAAGTTCAGCATCGACATGGTGACCTCCCTGGAGCGGGGGACCACTAGGTTGCCTAAGGAGGGGTGAACCGGCCCAGGTCAGAAACAGAGCTGTCAAAACTCCCGTGCTGATCAGTAGTGGGATTGCGCCTGTGAATAGCCACTGCACTCCAGCCTGGGCAACATAGAGAGACCCTGTCTCTTTAAAAAAAAAAAAAAAAAGGAAGTCACATGAGTAAGAAAGGATATGACAGATCCCTTGGTCATTCATGTTTCTAACAGTGCCATTGATTTCCTCCTTTTTTAGAGCAAGTTCTGGATCGAGTGACACACTTACTGAATAAATGACAATGGGCATAGCAAAACTCATGGGTCAAGATACTTCCATTTTTCTACTTTTTATTTCCGTGGCACTTTGTGTTGCCATGATATGTAAAAATAGATGTCAATTTTCAACACCTTCTCCTTCCTTTTATTAAAAAAAAAAAAGTTACTATGTTTCATCATGATTGGTTAAGAATTCTTGTTTTGTGTTTTGGCTTTCATTGGCTAAAGATTGAAACTGGGCCCGGTGCAGTGGCTCACGCCTGTAATCCTAGCACTTTGGGAGACGGAGTTGGGTTGGCCAGGCTGGTCTTGAACTCCTGACCTTCTTTCTAAGTCCTCATTTTCAGCATAAGTGTTAGCTGACATAGCTGTGAACCCTGAATATCTAAGGCAGCTCTCAGTCAATTTAGGAAGCTTATTTAGGAGGAAGTTATTAGGAGGAGATCAGGAGTTCAAGACCAGCCTGGCCAACATGATGAAACTCCATCCCTACTAAAAATACAAAAAATTAGCCAGGCATGGTGGTGGGCACCTGTAATCCAAGCTACTAGGGAGGCTGAGATAGAAGAATCACTTGAACCCAGTAGGTGGAGGTTGCAGTGAGCTGAGATCACACCATTGCATTCTGCCTGGGCAACAAGAGCAAAACTCTGTCAAAAAAGAAAGATTGAAACTGACCACTGGACACAGTGGCTCAAAAATAAATAAATAATTAAAAACATTTTATCATTTTAAATTAGATTTATTTGTTTAATTATTTAATAAGTGACAGATTTACTAGACTCAAAACTTTAAATTGTTTAAGAATAAAATAGAAGCAAAATTCTTCCTTCCTCCCCTGCTACCTTATCCTCTCTTTCCTCCCTCTCCCCAAATAGATAACTATCGCTATCAATCCCTTAGATTCTCTTCCTGAAATTTTTAAATTTATATCTATACTCTGTTAAATTGTGAATTCAAAATATACATCCATATCCTAATCTTCAGTACTGGTGAATGTGACCTTATTGGGAAAAAGTGTGTTTCCAGATATCATTAAGTTATCTCAAGATGAGATCACTCTGCATTGAGGAGACACCCTAAATGCAATAGCAGCTGTTTGTTGTTGTTGTGTTCTTTTTCTGAGATGGAGTTTCACTCTTGTTGCCCAAGCTGAAGTACAATGGTGTGATCTTGGCTCACTGCAACCTCCATCTCCCAGGTACAAGCGATTCTCTTGTCTCAGCCTCCCAAGATTACAGGCATGTGCCACCACACCCAGCTAATTTTTTTGTATTTTGTAGAGAGGGGATTTCACCATGTTAGTCAGGCTGGTCTCAAACTCCTGACCTCAGGTTGTAGCAGGAGCGGCCACGGGAAAGGATCTCTCGGACACCAAATACAGGAGGAAGGAATTTATTTCAGCTAGGAGCAAGGTGGCATAGGTGCCTAACAGCCAAGTTCTTCTAACAAAGGGAGGTTCAGCCTTTATATAGGCTTATACTTTAGATGTTACACGTGGAAGAATATTAGGTTCATAGTTTTAGAACTTACATGCCAAAAGGTCTCTGTTTACAGTTTTAGGAATCACATATGAAAGGGTTCCGGTTTACAGTTTTAGGACTTATATGTGAAAAGGTCTCTGTTTACAGTTTCAGGAGTTACATATGAAAGGGTTATGGTTTGATTTTGTTTTAAGTAAAAATAGTGCCTTCTTGGAAAGTTTTCCCCAAGGCCTAGCCTGTCACCTACAGGAAGGTAAAACCGGAGGCGCCAGTCCGTCAACCTTTTCTTCTATTGAAATGCAGCATGATAGTCAAAGGGGAAGTTGATCTGAGAAGCCTGGGTCTCCCTCTTCAAGGTGATCCACCCACGTGGGCCTCCCAAAGTGCTGGAATTACAGACTTGAGTCACTGCGCCCGGCCAAGGTGTTCTTTTAAGAGAAGAGAAAGCTAGAGACACAGAGAAGAGGGCACAGATGGAGGTGATGCTGCCATACACCAAAGAAGGCCTAGAACTGCCAGACGCTGGAAGAGGCAAAGGGAGATTCTCCCTGGAACCTTCAGAAGGGGCCCACGTGGCCCTGCTCACAGATGATTTCAGACTTTGACCTACAGAATTGCGAAAGCATAAAATTCAGTTGTTTTTAAGCCATCGTGTGTTTAGTAATTTGTTATCAAAGCCCTCAGGACAGAATACAACATGTAAGCAATGCAAGAATGTACTTTTTTTTGGTGTGATTTTATCCTTAAAAGCCTTCACCTTTTAATGAAGTTATCTCTTTAGAGAAACATAAGCAGGCCTCAAGCAGGTATGGGTCTCACTGAAGCAATGAACTTCATGACTGCCACGGCCCACTCTTGTCACCCCTGCCAGGAAGGGGTCTGAAGGCTGAACCGTATCTTTTCCAGGCACTGTGGCTGAGTGTCGCACCTGTCACAGATTCCAAGGGCCGCCTCCGAGAAGGGAATACCTATGCCTGCTGCCAGTGCAAAGCTGTGAGAAAGTCTCCTTACTCCCCAGAGAAGGGCTGTACTCACTGACTTTCATTCACGATTTAACAGTAGTTCCTAGAAATTTGTTGTGTTACCTAGTCTGCTATCACAAAAATCCAAAGCCTGAATAGTTTTTAGACCATAGAAAAGTTGAAAGAAAAAATATTTTCCACTCCTTAATAATGTCAGGGCTTAATTACACACTTCTTGAATTGCAGCTTCAGGGAATTTCAAAACACATGATTTAGCCTTCTTCTACCATATGAAATATTCTGTTGGAACAAACAAGACTGGGGCTACTATGTCACGTTCATCTTACCCAGAAGGTAGAAGCAATAATTCATACTGTCAGAGAGAGGGAGAGACACTTTGCCTAAAGTGGCCAATTTTAACTTCTACGGATTCTAATTTTTAACATTGGGGTTAAGGTCCAGTTAATGCTGAAAATAGATGTGTGTTGCCTGGAGCCAAAGGCAGAAAACTGTGAGCCTTGGGAATAGTACCAGGCATTAACCCTTCCGTGGCAGGATAGTGGGAATGCGGTGAGGGGTAAATGAGAGGTCGAGGCAGTCAGAGCAGTGAAGAACCCCAGAACATTGGGGGTGTGGGGCCTCTTGGAAAGATAGCTATTTCTGAACTGGCACAGAAATACTCCAATAGTTTAACAAGTAATGTGTCCTGGTGCATGTCGGCTAGGCACAGTTCTAGTGATATTAGTATACACAACACATCCTACCCAACACTTGCATACCCGTCGTCCTGCCTGACTCTGGTACCAAAGATCTGAGTTCAGTGTTACCCATGACGCTGAAGTTTCCAAGATGCAAAATGACTCCACCAGCGTGGCCCTAGCAATAGGTTGTACTTGCAGGCCCTGAGCCCATATTTTCAGATTTCAAATCCAGCCCTCTTTGCATTAAATAGCAGCTACTTTTTAAATGAGATTAAATCTTTCCAGCCTAGGCATACAACCAAGCCAGCTCCATTTTGGGTGAGAGAACCGAAGAAAGCCACACCAAAGCCAGAGGAGAAGCAGAGGGGGATCCGAGTCAAGGATGCCGTGGGAGTTGCCATGAGGACAAGTTTTTAAAACTGAGAAGGCTCAAGGCTGTATTATGGATGAGAACCCTAAAATCGTGACTGCGGAGTAGATAAGCTCTGAGTATAGACCTCGTTTTCTTTCTCTTTCTTTCTCTCTTTCTTTCTTTCTTTCTTTCCTTCTTTCTTTTTTTTTCATTTTTTTAAATTTTTTTTTTTTTAAGACTCGGTTTCACCATGTTGGTCAGGCTGGTCTTGAACTCAGGACCTCAGACGATCCGCCCTCCTCAGCCTCCCAGGGTGCTGTGATTACAGGTGTGAGTCACCACGCCCGGCCTCTTTTTTTTTTTTTTTTTTTTTTTTCGAGATTCTGTCTTGCTCTATCACCCAGACTAGAGTGCAGTGGTGATATCTCAGCTCACTGCATCCTTCCTCTACCAGGTTCAAACAATTCTCCTGCCTCAGCCTCCCAAGTAGCTGGGATTATAAGCACCCGTCACCACACCTAGCTAATTTTTGCATTTTTAGTAGAAACAGGGTGTCACCATGTTGGCTAGGCTGGTCTTGAACTCCTGACCTCAAGTGATTGGCCCACCTTGACATCCCAAAGTGCTGGGATTACAGGTGTGACCCACTACACCCGGCCTAGACCTCTTCTCAGTGACTTACTTGATAGAGGTCTACATCAGAGTAATGAAAACATGGCTACTTTACCCAATAAGTAACAGAATGTGCTGACCCAAAATATCAAACAAAAATTGGCAAACGGGGTTTATGTTAACAGATGCATGGCATCAATAATAGGTTATAGTTTCTCTCTTTCAGGGGAAGGACAAGGCCAGGCTGACTCAAGCCTCTCCCTGGAGGCTAGCCTTGACCTCTCTGCAGCTATGTGCCACTGAAGATGTCTCCCAAGGCCAGGTCTGAGGATAAACAGTGGCGCGGTGCTCTTGTGCCATGGCTGAGGTTTCTATCTCTTTCTACACACTCACAGGCAGGGGAAATGAGGTGTCTCTCTCTAAAACTCCAGTGGGTCAAGCCATTGCCAACGCCTGGTATATGCTGTGTGTGCACTTCTGTGTGCTGCATTTGCATAGTTTATTCCTGTTTTAAAGCTGAATAATGGATTCAGATTCTGAGCAATAGAAGCTCTACATAAATTATTAGCCAGGCTGGGCTCTGCTTTGTGCTCAGGTGAACCTTGCCCCACTTTTATCTGTGCCTGCTGCTGCTCTAAAATGAGCCCAAGGCACAGCCTCTGCAGACTGAGACCCAGGGCTAGGCAGGGAGAGGGGGAGATTGGTTCAAACTACAGGATGTTTTTTTCCCAGTAGCCAAGAAAGGCATTGTCTGTGGAATGGTAAACAGCACAGGGGCTAGCATAGACTTCACTGAACCTGAACTTGAGTTTAAGGACTGTCGTGGGATGGGAGAAGGGCCCGGTGGTGTCACATGACAGCAAGCGGAAGGATGTCATCATGATGGTCACACATTTCATTTTGAACCAACCACATGCAAGTATTAAGGTCCTGCCTTGTGTTACATACCATGTTCAGTACTGCAGAGATCAAGTAGAAAGGGTCTCTATCTGAAAAAGCAAAGTAAATTAACAATATGTTATTAAAACTAATAAGAAAGCTAAGTAAGTTGTCAGACCCAAAATTAACAAGAAAGAGCCATTGGTGGAAATAATAATAAATCCAGGATTTGCTTCAAATTAATTGGGCAGGAGGAAAGGGATTACATGGAATAGAAAGGAAAGATTAGGTATGAGTTAGTGATTGTTGCGGTTTGGTTTGGGGTACGTAAGGATTCCTCACGCCCCCCCACAAATTGCAGATGCTTTTGAAACTTGCCACTATAAGAAATTTTATTTTTTAAAAACTACCTCATTCACAACAATAACAAGATTTATAAAAACACATTAAATTACATCTACCAAGTAATGCACTATGCATTTATAAAGAAATCTTCTGTACCACCTAACCAGAAGCTAAAAACCTAAAGAGAGAAACAGGATATTTCAGGATTTTTAATCAGGAGGACATCAATTTTGCCCTAATTAATCTATAAATTCAGTGCAATCCCAGTGAAAATTCCTACCAAAATGTATTGCATTGGACTTGGTGGTTCTATGAAAAAGTAAATAAATAAATAATTAATTAAAAATAATTTATTATAACTAGCTGATTCTCATTCATATGGAAAATATGAAAAAATAGTAATGAAAATTTAAAAACAAAAAGAATGAGAAGGAAATGACCTTATCAAAGCACAGTATAATGTAATAATTAAAATAATGTAAAATTAGAGCAAGAAAGGACATGCATTAATAGAACTAAATATAGAGATTTCAGAGGTAGGTAGATGTGCATATGAAAATCTAGGTTGATATAGAGACAGCATTTCAAATCTTTCCCTTTCTGATTTGGGACAAGTTCAGTTTTTAATGTGGGAAAAATAAACTTATATATATATGTATTTATATGTCAATACACTTATTTACCAATATATCTATGTCTGCATATCCTACTTCTATGTTTGTGTCATTGGGCAAAATTACATGTTCGTCTTCATATGCTTATATTTTATATTTTTATACATTTTTATTTGAAAAATATGTAATTGATATTTGTTTATATATTGCATATAGATAAATCCTACAAGACTTAATAGAGGTGAACAAAACATTTCCACCTGCATGGAGTTCACAGTACATATATATAAATGTAGACATATATACATGCATGCATATGTGTATATATTTGCTTACATATGTATGCAAATATACATTTGTATAGATGTGTGCCATGATTCAGATGTATTTGTCCTTCCAAAATTCACATGTTGGATCTTAAAGCCAAGGATGATGGTATTAAGAGGTGGGACCGTTGGATGATGATTAGTGTATTAGTCCATTCTCATGCTGCTATAAAGACATACCCGAGACTGGGTAATTTATAAAGGAAAGAGTTTAACGGACTCACAGTTCCACATGGCTGGGGAGGCTTCACAATCATTGCAGAAGGTGAAGGGAGAGCAAAGGCACATCTTACATGGCAGCAGGCAAGAGAGCACATGCAGAGGACCTGCCTTTATAAAACCA